AGAATGGACCGGCGCTGCTTTAGGGGGATAAAACGTCAGAGCGAAGCGAACGGCACCGCCGGGGAGGGGGGGAGATGAGGAGCCGCTCAGCGCAGCGCAGCGCTGCACGCAGCTCGGTGGGCAGCCAGGCCAAGGACGCGAATTGCTCCGCTGCAACCAAATCCGGGCTTTGCGAACCCCTCTGGAGCGACGGCACCTCGCACCGGGCTTTGCGGAACGGGAGGAAAAGCTCCGCGTTCGCTGCCGCTAAGAGCCGGGGCCGCTCCGCGCTGCCAGCAGGGGGCGCCGCGATGCGCCGGGATGGGATGCGGAGCTGCGTCACAGCGCCGGGCAGCGGGAGCCGCAGCTGCCGACCGAGGTCTGAACGCTGGGAGCCGGCGCTGCTCATCGCTGGGTGTGAAATCTGCCCCAGTGCGGCACCGACGGTGCGGCTCCTCGAGGGCTGCGGGGCTGCGCTGTGTGCGCTGCGCTGAGAGCCGCAGGAGAGCGGCGGCTGAAGGCACAGAGCTTGCTCTGATCGCGCTGTTGTTGTTCTCGGTTCCTTCTTTAATGCGTGTGTGTGTGTGTGTGTTTTTCACGGTCTTTGGGTTTCGTGTTTTGTTGGTTTTTTTTTGAAGTGGTTTTGCAGTTATTGGGATGGTATCATACTGGGTTGTAAACTGTCACGTACAGCTCCACTTACAGAAGCCCAGAATTTCTGTACACAGGTTCATTTTGTTCTTTGTAAATCATCTCTACTTAAAAAAAATAACAATAAGAAAGATGTGTTTTAATGCAGGCGTCAATTCTGCAATAGGGGAAAGGTCGGATGCGAGCTGTAACAGCAGAGCAGAGCAGATCAGCAAATGCTTTCTTACCCTGTCATGTATGTGATGCACACCTGGCTCAGCTCTTCTCAGGGAAGCCGCTGGCAGGATTGTTGTTCCCCGTTCCATACCCAATCTGCTGCATGCGTTCAACCCCGTGCATGGAAGGTGGTCATACAGGCTATGGGAAGGATGCTCTGTGCATGAGCAGATGGTGGCACTTCACCTTTCTCAGTTCTTCTAAGAGACCCAACTGCACCTCTTCCTCTCGTGGAATGTTCCCCTGCCCACTGGTGTTTGATATCCTCCAGGAAGGTGCTGGCAGCTCCCAGTCTGAGCGGGAGCAAAGTTCAGGGAATGCTTCATAACTCTCTCCAGTCAAAACCAGCAGTACGCAACTTCCCCACCCTGGTACCCATAGTGTCCATGGGTATCTTCCTGCTGCTTCTTAGTCCCTGCCTTTCCTATCATTCACACATGACCATCTGTCTCCGTTTCATGTTACTTCAGGCCATAAAGGATCTGTTTGTTCACCACAGACCCCTTCAGCTGCAAATGAACTTGGTGGCCAAAAGGAGCAGATCTGCAGGCAGCACCCGGCCCTGACCCAGAGGGGTTTGGTGACGTGTGGGGCAGCGACCGCCCCTCTCCTCCTTCACATCTCAGCTGCAAACCAGAGATGCCAACCAGATCTCTCCCCTTTTGTTTGCATCTCTGGGTGCTTCTGCTCTCAGCTCAATTCCTGGACTGCAGGGTGAGGAAGCTGCCAGTGTGCAGAGCAGATGCTGAACTGGTCAACAGTTTTTTGTTCTGTGGAAACAAACAGCATCACGCTGTGACGCAGGCGTGAGGAAGGTGAATTCCCAGCGTCACCATGCGTGTTCCTTCCCTGCTGTGGCTGACCAGAAGGCAGCAGGGGCAGCTGTGTGCCCCCGAGGCAAACCTGCCTGCTGTGCAGATTGCTTCCTCTTCTGGGTGGATAAGAATCTTATAATAACCTCACAGTGAGATGATAATCACAAGATTCGTTTTTATCTGTTTTTTCAGGGCATCCCCTAAAACCACTCTCAGAACTCCTCTCAGCGTGGAATCCCAGCTCAGTACTGCTCTTAATGTCAGGAATTTACTTAAAATTTCACTTCTCCTATTTTGTTTGCTTGAAGAAAACCCTAAAAGCCCTCTCCAGAGTAAACTTACTGACTGCACCGCATGAACCTTCCCCACACATCCCCCAGCTCAGTAACTCAAGATGTGAGGGGGTGTCTGGGCATGAGGCAGGGCTGGAGGTAGGAGATCCCAAGCCAGGCACTGCAAACAGCAAATGTCGAGGTCCCATCCCAACGTAAGAGGGACATCAGTGGGAAGCGGGCACATGAGTGACATTCACCCTTAAGCCACCATTTCTCCTGTCTGGGCGACTCCAGCATCCTGCAGCAGTGGGACAAACTCTTCCATGCTGTAGAGCAGATTGCCAGCGCAGCAGAGAGCAAAGGGAGGCACTGATGCTCTGCCCAGTTTGTTCACCTGAAGCTGCCAGCAGCTCCAGCCAGGCTGGGGGTTCGTGTGGGTGATTCTCTGTGCAGCTGAGATTTGTCACAAGGTCAGTTTTCACTGCAGTTCACCCAAAGGAACTCCGCTGTCTCCTGAAGTCGTGCTGATGAACCCCCGTGCAGCTCTGACACTCTGACTTCTCATTCGTGACTTTTATCACCAATTTCTGCTGTTCTTGCAGTGCAGCTGTCGCCAATCTAGGTTCTCACCTAAGACCAAAACGCCTTTTTCTCTTTTTTTTCTAATAGCTATTGAACGTCGGAGTAACGAATGCACTGCGGTGAGCAAACAGTGCTGTGTGCCTGTCGGGCCTGGGCCTCAGAGACCCCGCGTTGTTCAAGCAGGATCACACTCCTGTAAGGGCAGCTCGTGGGATGCACACGTGAAAGGGGGGACGTCAAAGAAAGTCACAGAGGCATGAAATAGACTGCAAAGACAAGACCGTACGAGAAGATTCAGCATCATAAGAAAAAGCGGATTGTTTGTTTCACAGAACTGGAAATGCTTACAATGATCACTTTGCTTGAGTTGGTTCTGGCAGCGCGCGGCTCGGGGGCGCCGGGGCTTTGCACACAGAGGGAAAGGAGCTGTGAGCCGCCCCGCGCCTCTCAGTGCTCCATCGCCACTGCGGCTCTGGAGATGCACCGCAGCCACACGGCGCCCCCCCTCCCAGCTCCCAGGGCAGTTCGTGCAGCCGGCAGCGCGTTGCTGTGCAGGCAGCATAGAGCAGCACGACGCCCCACGCCCAGCTCTTCTGGGTATTCTGCCGGTGCTGGAGGGAAGCCTTTCATCTCTCGTCCTTATTGGCGGAAGTGGTTTGAAGGTGCAGCTCTCAAAGGCAGCGTACCTGCTAGGATAGCTGATGAACAAAAGGAAAACAGAGCAATAAAAAGTCACCGGGGTGTGAGCGGCACCTGCCTGCAGATAAGACGCAAGAGAGTGCACTGAAAAGCCAGGGATCGTAGAATCATAGAGTGCCTTGGGTTGGAAGGGACCTCCAGGATCACGGAGCTCCATGCTGCAGGCAGGGATGTATGTGTGGGGCAGGGAAACTGTAGGCGACCTCCTGCAAAGCCAAATAAAGGGGTGACAGCTGTCAGGTGCCTGAGCTGCAGTGAGTCCATGTGGGTCTGGCACTCCATGTGGGGTGCAGGGCTGGGGAGGACGCCAGGATGAGGGAAGGACCACAGTGGGATCGGCCTCCTAGGAAGGAAATGCTGAGGGGGGACCGCAGTGAGAGCCGGGTGGGCACAGGGCTGGGGAGGGGCTGCAGCTGAAGCCTGGGAGACCCCCGAGTGATCTGTGACTGCTGATGTGTTTAAGTGGGGCTTAGGAGCTGGGAGGTGAGGTTCTGCTTCAAGCTGAGGCAGTTGTCTCAAAGGCATGGCAGCAAGTGCTCAGCAGCTTTAGGGTTACTCTTAAATAAAACTCAGATTCTAGTGAGGTCCTGTTTTAGCTGTGGTTAACCATTACAGTATCTTCATTCTAATATGCATACACATTTATTCAGAACCCCATCTTCAGGTCTTTCTGTGCTAAACTACATGAAAGGAAATCATGTCAGCCCTCCTCAGTGCCCCAGACTTGCAGGGGCTGTGGGGCTCCAGTGCTGAGAAGTGTTCTCGGCTGGGATGTGCAGACAGCTGGATTCTGCTGTGGGAAGCTACCTGAGTGTTGGTGTCTCTCCCAATTACACTGCTGCAATTCCCCTGCTCCCTGTGAACAAACCCCATGTGAAACCCACGCTGGTTGGCAGGACGCTGCTCGGATCACGAGGCAAGCACTGCTCAGAGCTGGACACCGGCTGCCCAGCGTGGGTTCTGACAACGGCTGCTGGATTCAGTTTGCTGCAGAGCACGTTATCTGTACATCAGCTGCAGTACAATGTAGGCAGGACAGGGTTTCCTTTTCTTATTTCTCTGGTTATGTTTCTACCTGTCAGAAGAACAGTTCCAAGAAGCGGCATCCAGCTCAAACAGCCACAAACAGCCACTGAGTGACACTGAGCCACTGCCCTCAGGAATGGGATGAGCCAAAGTGAATCCCTGCAGTGTGAGCTCCTCCCGGGCTCCGCTGAGCTCAGACCTCTGCAGCAGCGTGATGCCGGGGAAGGCACAGGACTGCAGATGTGCAAAACCTCTTAGAGGAAGGCGGCGTGCGCCGAGCCTCAGCAGATGGTACAGCAAAACCACCAGAAAGCAGAAAGAGGTGGGGAAGCCCACTTGCCTGGGGGCTGCTGATGCGGACAGGCAGAAGGGCTGCGCAATGGGACGGCTGTCGTGTGGTGGGTGGACACCTTTCCTAGAAAGGGCTGAGTGGAAATGGGAAACTTCCCTGTTTCCTGCAGCACCGCGTTCTGAGTGACGAAGCAGGCTCTGCTGTGGAAACCCTGCTCCCGTCCCTTTGCCACATTCCAAGTGCAAATGCAGGAGCTGCTTCGCTCCGTGAGCTCTCGGCATGGAGCGCGTGGACGCGTGCAGCCCTCAGAGCGCGCTGAGGAAGGACCTGAGCATGAGTGCGTGCAGGGAGCACAGGGAGCAGCACAGCGATCCGAGAGCACGAGGAGGAGGAGGGTCTGACTGTCAGCACGTCACCGGGCTCTTGCTGAGGTGCAGGAAGTATAAAAGGCCGTTTCCCGAAGAGGGGCTCAGGCAGGAGCTGGCGCACACCCAGGCTGCGCTGTGCAGACGATGCTCTCAGCAGCACCGTGACTTTGGCTGTTAGAAACAAGACCATGGACGGCGGTGAGTACCTGCCCTGCCTTCATCTGCGTCTTTATTAACAGGGAGAATGCCCAAATCCATGCCCTGGGGCACAGGGATGAAGCATTTTAAGATTATTCAATATAAAAGGGTTTAATTTTCCTTCTGTGTGCTCTGAACGAGAGGACTCAGCCAAAACCATCTTCTCCACAAGAAGACAAAGAGCACAAATCTCACAAATCTCAGGTCAATTTGCTTCCAAGCCATAAAAAAAGGGCAGCCTGGGGGAATTTCGAGGAGGCTCTGCTGTCCAAAAGCGAGTTCTTCCCATGCCATTCCTATCTTTTTCTCATGTTTCTTTAAAAGACCTTCCATCTCCTTGGTAATGTTACGCTCCCATGGATAAATCAAGGGATGGGAGTTTCCTCTTGGCTAAACCTCCTCGCTTACTGAAATTTGTGTGACTGAATATCTTCACTGCAGCCACCAAATCTTGAACCAGTGCAAAAACTGGGCTTTGCATTTGCCTGCACCTGGAGCAGCCTGAGCTGGGGCACAGCGTGGGTCTGCACTGCAGCAGAGCACCCTGCCATGGGAGCAAGGCGCTGCTCTTTGGCACGCCGTGTCCCCGGCAGCACGGCAGCACGAGGCTCATGTCTGCTCCTTGCACCTCTCACACTTTGCCAGCTCACACCAGCGCCCTGCAGGCCCGGCTGGGGATGTGCAGCACTGCTGCTGAGCAGGTAGCAGCCGAGCCGATCCCCTCTCCTATGTGAGCCTCTGCAGTTTACTTATCTCTGTTTATTCTGCTTCTTGAATCTCAGTTTCCTAAGAGGGGTGGAAACAGATCATCAACGTGTCTGACTGAGATCTGTGAGTGCATGAAACAAACCGTGCGACACGGTTCTGCTACCCTCCCTTCGGCCCATCTTTCCTGTCTGCAGTGAGAAGTAGGGGGGAAAGAAGGGGGAAACTGGCACTGAGCTGTTAACTGCCAAAAGTCATTCTATTGTTTAAGTATGATTAATCCTTCTCAGAAATATCCGGTTCTTTCCCCAAAAGCCAACGATAGTGATGGTGAAGAGGCACCAGAAACCTGAATACGGGTAGAGATCTCGGCGGGACGTTGCTCACTGCCCACATGTGCGCTGAGCTGCTTAAGGCTCAAACCTGCACTTCGCAGTCCTGGCCACCAGGAACAAAAGATCCTTTGCCCACGAGGGTTTAACAGAGCAGGTTTGCTGCCCTCCTGCTCTCGCCCTGCGCATGCAGACCAGCTGCAGCCCTGCACTGAGCCGGGGCCGCCATCTCCTCGCAGTTCATCTGATGGACGCGGTGCTGAGCTGCCCGCTCCCCTCTGCACAGAGCAGTTCTTTCCCCCTCCATTCCCACTGCAGCAGGGCAATGTGCTCCTGAGGGCTGCAGCAGTGCAGCGCTGCCGAGGGAGGTGGGGGCTCTCTGGGGGCTGGGGGCACGTCCTGACTCACTGCACTGAGTTGGCTGAATCTTGAGAAGGGAGGTTGCTGCTCCAACTGTTACAGGGACTTTTGAAGGGGTTTTTTTCTTAATATTTTGAGGAACGAAACTTTATGAAAAAACCCACAGCTGAGAACTGCCAGAGGCCAGAAAACGTACAGCTATCTAAAACTGCCCATTAAACTCCAAAGTGGGCCTCATTTCCTCTCTACAGCCCATTTGCTTCTGCTCCTCTCCCTCCCGCCCTGCCCCAGGCTCCTGCAAGCACAGCACCAAGAAATGAGTCCCATCCTTAATGTGAAAGTGGTGACTCAAGGACCCGCACTGCCCCTTTTGCCATTTGCAAATGCATAAGCTGGGGTGAGGGGATGGAAAGTGCAAGCCTTTTTATACTGAAAATCATCTGACATTTAAGATACGTGAAACAGCAGCTGAGAAAAAAAAAAAGTGAAGCTCTTCAAAGGAATGATACCTGGCTGATCTGTTTGCAGATCGTTAGTTGAGTCATTTTGTTATCAGCTCTATTTCTGTTAGGCACCTCAAAGGGTGATGCTGGTACAAAAAAGGCAGCTCTCCACTGCTGTGCATTTGTGCCCATCAGGTGGGCCAGGGGCCGGACTGGGTACAGGCACTGGGGAGGGGAGATGCAGGGGAAGGCGCTGCTGCTCCTGGACAAGCATGCAGTGCTGCTGCACCAGCGTGGAACCAGGAGGCAGGCTGTGCTCCCTGCATGGGTCAGGAGGGAGGTGGATTCAGGTGTCCTCACCCTGGGGACCGGCAGCTCTTCTCTGCCTCCCTTCCACACAGCCTCTAGGAGTTAATCATCTCTGAGGCCCCAGCTCCCAAAAACGACGGCCAGCAGAGGTAGCAGCACCGCCAGCAGGCATGAGCCCCATCCCAGTCCCTGGGAAGACAGAAGCTTGGTGGAGAGCATCGCTTGGCACCAACTGTGTTTTTGCCGGGGCAGTGACCCCGTGCCAGCAACCCAGGCACCTGAGGCTGATTAAATACAGGCAGAGGGTTTCAGCAGTTTGGGCTTCCAGTGCATTCTCCTGGCCTGGTGCAGCACCAGCACAGGAACCGGCAGAGCTGGGAAGGGTGTGAAGGAGCTCTGAAGCAGCAAACAGCAATCCAGAGCAGAGCTGTGCATGTGGCTGCTGAGCACCGAGGGGCAAAGGGTTCAGCCAAACTTCTGAACAAATGCTCATCTGTGAGGACAACAGCACGGTCACCAGAGGAAACGGGCAGCCACAGCCAGAGGCATCTCCTGCCTGAGGATGGGCCCTGCTCAGCAATCCCAGAGCAGGTGATCACAGGAGGCAGGGGCTGCAGCATGGCCTTGTGCCGTGCAGACAGTGGCAGAACTCTCTGAGCTGGAGGAGACCCTCAGGGATCACAGAGTTCAGTGCCACACATCCAGGCAGACACAGCTCACAGCTGCCAGGTTGCCTCCTAGCTTCAGCAATTTTCGGTCACAACTGCCTGAGGTAGATGCTGGCATGTGCTTTAAATAGAGACAAGAGAAAGCTTTCACTGGCCTCTATGTCTCTACTAACCACAGCAGGAAGAGCTGTTTGTCTGAGATTGCTCTCACATCTGGCTCTGAATTTAATTTTCCTCCCAGCTGACAGTGTGCTGCATCTCCACATCCAGAGGCAGCAGAAGCCAGCTCTGACATTTAGACAAGCAATAAATTTCAGCCAGCTTCGGCTCCGTACTTCAGCAGGGAGCAGAGCCTTCCTGATCTGCAGTCCGGTCAGCACGCTGCCAGGAACAGCCGTGCCAAACTGACTGCACTCACAGCTGTGTTTGCACACACTGAGTGTGCTTCACCCTCAGCTCAGAGCTCAGGAGATGGGCTGCTGGCTGCACCCTTCAGGAGCATGAAGCTGTCAGCTTGGGGGGTGAGGAGGAAAGAGAATGAAGTCTGCAGTAAAAATGGTTACACTGCGCTAATTGTCTTCAGCCATCAGATGAGGCTGCAGAGGCCGGGCTTCCAAGACTCAATCAGTGTTCTGACAGTGGCTTGGTGCACGACCCCGGGTTGTCCTGTGGGCATCTTCATCGCCTTTTCTGTCTGTGCAGCTGCAGGGAGCTTTGCAGAGTTCAGAATGCCACAGCCAAGTGTGCTACCCCTGCTTTTCAAGCAGAAATCCCGACCTGACTGCTAACACGGTGTCTTTTTCTTCCTTAGGTAAACAGCTGAAGGTCACCCTTGCTTTCAGCCTTCCTCTAATTTTTCAGGTAAGATGTTGAAAACAATGTTGTTGAAATGCAGCTGCATTTGTGTTGTGGGTGAAGAGAGATCTCAGAAATAGGCAAAACAGCCACCCACAGCCCCAGAGAGATCCGTGGGGCACACGGCTGCTCACACTCATAACCCAGCACCCAGAGGTGGGCGGTGAGAGCAGAGCTAAAACCAGAGGGAAAGCAAACGAAAGGGATGAGATCAACGAAAGAACAAAAACAGCAGGATAAACAGATCTTAAGGCAGTCTCGACTGTTAGAACCGAGTCCCATCCTCACAGCAGTGTGTGCAGTAAAGAACCAAGCACCGCACGCAGTGTTCCTGCAGGTGTTCCCAGCTCCCGGACCCAGCACTGCGCTTTGACCGGCGTCGGTCCTGAAGGGCCGATGCACCCAGGCAAAGCAGGCGCCCTCCTCCACGTTCTCCTGCTCAGAGCCCGTGTGAAGCAGCAAGGAGGAGCCCAACGCTGTGACCCGCTCCTGACCTGCAGGCCGGCCCCCAGCACTCACGCTCCTGCAACCACAGCAGCAGCCTCAACCACGCCACCGTCCCCGGCTCGGGCTCCCTGAGGCTCCGCGAGGCCTGCAGTCTGCTTTCCCCTTTCACTTCTGGCGGCGTGCCTCCAGATTGCATGCAGGATGTGGTGAAAGCCAGGCCTGCCTGAGACGGAGCATGCTGAGAGATTGGTGATAAGGGCAGAGGTATCCAGGGGAAACCTTTCATCTCCGAGCAATGGGGAGAAGGTTCTGGAGAGCGATGGCTCACGGAAAGCAGGGCAGAGCCACCGCAGGCTCACTCTGCTCTGCTGAGCGTGGCAGTGTAGGAAGATGAAACAAGAATAATCAGAACTGAAATCGGGGCAGGGGCTGTGAATGAGATGCCAGCAACCCGTCCATGTCAGCACCGCAACCATTTCCTGCTTTGCTGGCGGCGTTTCCTCGCAGTTTCATTGACACCTCTATTCGCTCAGCAGAAACAACAGCCGAGGGAGGCAGGGAGGCTCCGGCTTTGCCTTCCAGCAGAGCCCTTTGTGCGCAGCCCCGCCGCCTGCAGGCTCAGCCCTGGTGGGAGCAGGGAGTGGAAGGGCAGGGAGCCGTGGGAACCCCGGTGCTCGCAATGCCAGGGTGCTGATGGCCATGAGCAGCTCCTGGCACTGCCACGAGAAGTGCATGTGAGCAACAGGAGTATCTCAGATGGGGAAGGGAGGTGAACTGAAGCTGGAGAATGCCAAACAAGTAGACTCAGTCAGGAGGAAGTTTTTGCTGAGAGAAGGAGAACACCAAAGGCCGTGTTATTTTTCCATTTCATCTAACAACTGACCGTGTACATAACGCTGTGTTTGGGTCCTGATGCATTCTGGATAACAGCCATGCATTCCAGAGTTTCAGGTGTTATACTGATTGCACACTATTCTTGCTGAATTCCCGTGATGAGCCCCCAAGAACCCCAAACCCCACGTATTTATCCATGCTGTCAGCCATGAGACAGCTCTGCTCCCTAGGACATCCCTGGCCACGGCTGGGTGCTGCTGCTGTACAGGCTGACATCAGTCCCCTGCTGGAAAACACTGAGGGCCAGGGGCGGTGCAGTACCTGTCTCAATGGCTTTGTTCCTTCCCTGTTCTAGTTCTGTGCTGGGAACAACGTCACTGACGACTACGACGCCAACACCACCATTGACTACAACATGTTTGAGATCCTGTGTGAGAAGAAGGAAGTCCGTGATTTCCGTGCCGCCTTCCTCCCAGCCATGTACTCCCTCATCTGCTTCACGGGGCTGCTGGGAAACGGGCTGGTGATGCTCACCTACATCTACTTCAAGCGGCTAAAGACCATGACAGACATCTACTTGCTGAACCTGGCCCTGGCAGACATCCTGTTCCTGCTGACCCTCCCATTTTGGGCCACGAGTGCAGCCACGTTCTGGTGTTTTGGAGAATTTGCCTGCAAAGCAGTCTACTGCATCTGCAAAATGAGCTTCTTCAGCGGGATGCTGCTCCTGCTGTCCATCAGCATTGACAGGTACTTCGCCATTGTTCAGGCTGCCTCGGCCCACCGCTTCCGCCCCCGAATGATATTCATTAGCAAAGTCACGTGCATCCTCATTTGGCTCCTGGCCTTCGTTCTCTCAATCCCCGAGCTGGTTCACAGCGGTGTAAATAACTACGACAGCCACCCCCGGTGCTCCATCATTGCTAACGACTTGCAGACTTTCAACACTGGCATCAAAGTGTCCCAGATGGTTTTTGGCTTCTTGATTCCCCTGGCGGTCATGTCTGTCTGCTACCTCATCATTATCAAAACGTTACTCCAGGCCCGAAACTTTGAGAAGAACAAAGCCATCAAGGTGATCATTGCAGTGGTCATCGTCTTCGTCGTCTTCCAGCTGCCTTACAACGGCGTCATGCTGGCCAAGACCATCTCAGTCTTCAACAACACCAGCTCATGCGAGCAGAGCAAGAAGCTTGACATGGCAGACGATGTGACCTACACTCTAGCCTGCTTCCGATGCTGCCTCAATCCCTTCCTCTACGCCTTCATAGGCGTCAAATTCCGCAACGACCTCTTCAAGCTCCTGAAGGAGCTGGGCTGCCTGAGCCAGGAGCGCCTCTGGCAGCTGTCGTCCTGCCGTGAGAGCAAGAGGTTCTCCTTTGCCATGGAGACAGAGACGACCACCACCTTCTCCCCGTGAGGAGAGCTCCAGGAAGGCTGAAGGCTGGTGTCGTTTTGTACACTGCCTCTACTTCGAGTTACTGATAAAGACTTGCCATTACTTTAGGGAGGGCAGCTGCAAAAGGAAGACCAAAGAACCTCTCCATATTGCAGCCAACGAGCTTTGCTATCCAGTGTTTTCACGGATGGAGAGACTTCAGTAAAAACTATGACTCACAGTGAATTAAGGGAGAGGTTCAGTGAGTTCAGAGTTCATCATGCCATTTCACCCCTATTTCCTAGCCAAAATCAGAAATGCTCGGAATGGTTCATTTCATTAAAAGCAACAAATAGCAAGAGAAGCGGACACAGGTGCTACAGAATTACCAGTTTAGAGCTGGATTTCCAAGAGCACCGCCCTTGCTTTGCATGTTGCATTTGACACAACTCCCTACTGCTCTTCCACACGCACACAAACGATGCTCACTGCGCAGAACAGCACCAGCAGCCTCAAGCTCCCAATGCAATACAGCACGCAGTGTAAGCTGTGAGGTGTCCCAGCAGGCAACTCTTGCATTCTCTTGCATTCTTTGGGAATGCTGCTTCAGTTTGGCAATACAGCCTTCTTCAGCTTCTGTAAAGGCATCTGCCTGCACAAGAGCTAGCTAGCACAGTTTAGATTCCAATGTTTGCACAGAGACGAGTTATTTACAAGTACAAAATCGCTGAGGCCTCCCCAGTCACCAGTCACACAAACTGGAACCAAGAAACAACACTTCAGTGATGGGTACTTAAATACACTTTTAGCACCCGGTCCTTCAGCCTGTCCTCACACCAGCCTTACTCCTGACATGCTGAAGGAGCCTTTAAGCTGATGTGAAAGCATCTTTGTTTCTGTGCTTTGGCAGACTGCTGCCACGATGCTCAGCATTCGAGCCCAGGACAAGTTTCAATATATTTCTTAGTGCAAGACTTAGGTTAGGATATATCTGTGCCCACGGTCTGACCCCTGCAACGTGTCAGAATCGAAAGCTTGCTCCTCTCCAGCCTTGTCAGCTGTGTGGACACAGCCTGCTGACTGTCACATACATGTGGGGGCTTTCTGTGCTGCTGCTTGCTGACCTCAAGAGATGATATCGCAAGTGTGGGTTTTCTTCTCCTTTACCAACCAACGTGTCTTTCTGGAAGAACTTTAGCAGCTGTCTTTTCTATAAGTCAGATACGTATTTCACTTATAAGCTACTGAAAATGTGCTTAGCATTCGTGCTGTCACTTCTGATCAAGATGCCATTCACTGCAGTTTGATTTAACTGCAAAGGACAGAGGGGTGCTGCAGGTTACTGCCGGGGTCACGTACTTGAAGGGAACATGGCAGCTGAACAACAGACGACTGCCATGTAAAACAAGGCCTTGAAAAGAAGCCTTGAACGTGATGCCATTTACCAGGAGGAGGAAGATTCCCACAACAAAAGCACCCTGAGAACTGCTGTTATGGGACACCTGAGCATCAGCTGGGAGGAGCTGCTGCAATCCTCTGCGCATCTGTTGCCCATTTCCAGGCTCTGCCCCGCACAGCACGCAGCTCTCCCCAGCACCAGGCGCCATGGCTGAAGGCCTTGGCCACGCACTGCAGGCAGGGCGCCCGGCCCACCTTCCACAGCAGCAGGGGAGCAGCTCTGGTCTGCAGCACCTGAGGCAGGTTCCTGTGGACGTGCAGAGCCTGCAGAGCAAACATCCCAACGGTCACCTCTTCCAGCGCCACTCACAGGAGCATCCGGAGTGACACAGGGAACTTCCTGGATCAGAAAATCTCGTTCTGGGACAACCAGCCCTCAGACACAGAACCCAGTGGCGGATTTTGGGTCGATGCTGCTGGTGCGTGGTTGGCTGCCAGCCGTCGTTTTAAACATCCTTCCTCCTAACCCTCCTGGCTCGGTGGGGTTTTGCCACGAGCTGAATTCAGGAGGAAAGCACCCTGCTCTGATTAACCTGCCTATGTTGAATGGCAATCCCACCCTCTTGTTCCAAGCATTTTCTTTTACAGTGCCCATTTAACATGTACAGTACGTGCTGCTTCTCAATCATATTAAAGGGGGGTTGAGACTGACACACCAAACAGTCATTTCTTCTTGTTTTCCTCCTATGTTTCTTACTCAGGCAAAGAAAATCTGACCAGAGTAAGGAACACCTATCATACAGGCTCCTCTTCGTTTTCTGCAGTAACAATGCACTCTTCATGTATACTTACATATGTAAAGCTGCTTTTCATAGAAAAATTTCAATATGTACATGAATGTACCCTGAAATACGCTGCTTTCACTAAATCTTTTTTTGCATAACACACTCCCCTAACTTATTCTAGCAGGGAAAACTGCCTCACCAAAACTTGTACCTGTAGCCTGTTTAACAGAAACCATTTCCTTCCCAAAAATGCAAAGTTTTCAGGTCTTTGCCAACTGGACGCATTCTGAATAGGGAAATAAAGCAGCTGCCTTTGTAAGAATGAGAAACCAAAGCAGCATCTGGGGCAGCTGCCTCCTCAGCACGGCAGCGCTGAGCTCTGAGCGGATGAAGGCAGCCGCCAGATGGATCCCACGATGTGAACCTGAGGCTTCTCCAATGCAGACTGAGAACTGACTGTATGTTGCTACTCAATGGAAATAAATTATGACCATTTTGAAAATACTGATGCTTTTTCCTCGTGTATTTCCTCACAGGATGCATCTTGTGTGCATCGCAGCAGCTCGTGCCACGTCCTTCTGCACTGGCCAGGAGCTGTTTGTTATCACCCCAGCGTTGTGTCAGCACTGCTCTGCAGGGGGAAAAAAGAAAAAGACAAAGTGTGTAAGCAGTCTAGTAAAAGAAAAAAAGGTTGGTTTACTAATTATAAAGCAAACAAGTCAGAAATGGGTTTAGTAGTGGTGCCTGTCTTTATTTTTACTCTCAGTGTCTCCATGCTGTTCCAGCATTGGATGTACCTGGTGGTTACGTGCATAAAAGGCCTTCATGTTTACAGGGTCAGTAACAAAAACAGCACAGTGCTGAAAAGTGCTCACAGGGAGAGGGGCTGCATGGAGCAGCACAGCAGCAACTGCTGCACTCCAACGTCCAGCAGGGCAACCTGCACCGTGAGCAATTCTTCCTCAAGGGGCACAGAAACAGTCGTCATCCTGCACAAAAACTGCCCTACAGCTGCAAGGTGGAATCAAAGAGAAGAGCAGAGCTGCGGAGGGAAGGCTTTGTCACCACACAAAAGAATGAGCTGGAGTTAGCGAGGCAAACAAAGCCTAAAAATAATGCACGTGGGTGATGAGGAAGGGTGGCGGCACTTTGCAGCAGTCAGAATAGATGAGGGTGGGCCATAGTTTCCTCTCCCCATCTCTTCTTTTATATGGAAAAACAACCGAGGGCCCATTCTCAGGGCGGAGGTTTCAGATCTTGGGGAAGAACCTCTTCCATGGGCAATAATTGCCCCCAGGTGCTTCTGGCTGCCTGCCTGCCCTCCATCCCGCAGCGCTTCTCCCTTCCCAGCTGAGGTCTCAGCGCCTCGTCCTTGTTCCATCATAGCAGCCTCCATATATATAATTCCATCACAGCAGCTTCTTCCCCAGGCACGAAATCAGAGATCAAAATGTCCTGATGCAAAAGCAGTAATCAGGAGCACCTGGCTGTATGCTGGTACCGTGCACAGGAGCTTCCCACCCTCCTGCTGAAAGAGAAAAGCAGTCCTAACATGCTTAGATGCTTCAAACTGGGAGTTCACAAGCACAGCTCTGGGTAGCAGCCTAACCTATTTTCAAGCCACGTGAAAAGTTGGTTTTCACTTTCACCTTCCAGTACGACCCCGGCTCTGCACAGAGCCAAGGCTGCTACCAGAGCAGGGAGTCGAACCCCTGCTTATTAAACAACACCTGCCATTGCCACAGCTTGCTACAGAAATCCTCTTCAGGTCTCAACAAGCACGGTGGCTTTGGGTTCACCTCCACCACATGCATGGCAGATTCAGAGCCAATCGAGGCATGATCTCACGTATTTGTCACTGCTGAACCCATGCAAATCCTCAGCCTGCAGGAACCGAAACTCTTAACTTACCTCCTTGCTGCTTCGGTTGTTTTTTTTTTTTTAATTCAATTGTCTAAAATAAGAAAGCGAGCAGATATTTACTTTCCTTTCTTTGCTGACACGCCGTTACATAAACCCGAATTTCTGAGTGCTGATATGCTTGGCTGGGAAAATTCTGTGACTAAAGACCGCGTCCAGCATCCAAAATCATCCTGCCAGGGGGGAAAGGCCCAAATCACCTCCAGTGCCACACGGAATCCAAAGAGCCTCTGGGATTCAAAGTCTGCACACATCTGGTTATCAAAACCAGAGCTCCTACGGATCCTCGCTCTTCCTTCTTCAACCAGGAGCTTGCTCTAAAATCCACTGAAAGCAACAGAAACTCACGAAGGGTCTCTGCGTTACCTGGGAGCGGGTGTGAATTTGTCATGCTCTGCAACAGGCGGCAGAATCCCAACAGCTGAATCCACACAGCCAGATGCAGTTCTGAGAACAGCACAGGGAAGAGCAGCCACGGACTGCATTCATCCCCACGGGCAGAGAGTTTCAGCAGCTCTGCCAGAAGAGCAGACGAGCTCCATACGTGTCTGCTAAGGCCCAGGGAGCCCAGAGCTGCTGCAGAAGCCCCGTGCCACGACTCCTGCTGCCCGTGCCTGTCCTGCAGGCAGCTGTGCTCCTCTGGGACAAAGCTCTCATTTACACCACTTGAGTCAACAGCTCCACGAGGCTGAGTGCTCCAGAGGAGCAGAAACACTCTGCTCCAAAGCTCTTCATGGGGCACAGTAAAAAATAACATTTTCACCAGTACAGATGAGTCACAAGTCAAAGTGCCTCATCCAAAGACCCTAAGCTGTCATTTCCAAGAAATGCTGCTGCTTTTGTGTGCTTCTCACACCCAACAAAGGCAACAGAATTCCCACCCGACTGTCTGAAAGGAAGATGCTGATTTAGACATACAAAAATCAGTGTTTAACCAGATGGCATCAACTGCTTCCTCTGATTTTGATCCCGTTGGCTTTGTGCGGTCTAGAAATCAAATTTAGACACTCTGGTTTAGCAATTTTAATTACAAGGAAAGCAAATATTCCCATCCTCAGCCTCCACCAGGCACATACAGCCCCATGGCAGCGGGGACATGGGGCTCCCAGCCCCCCACTCCCTCTGCCTTCCCCCCCAGGTAGCACAGCAGAACGCCCGCTGCTCTGCATCTTATCACAGGGCATCTGACATCTACATGAGAACGTTAATGTGGAAGGAGGTGTGAGCACACACGTGCTCAGGTCTGCTTTTGTCTCCCAGCAGAACTGGTTTCAGACTCCGGGGGCTCTGGCAGCAAAATTAAACGCCCCGCTCAATCTTGCCACCAGAGCTGTGCAAATGAAAGCTTGTGTTTTTAGGGGAGTGTTGACTGATTCCCTTCAAGATAACAAGTTTCTTCTTCTAACTTGTGGCTGCACCGAGCAGTGAGAAAGAATCTCTACCCCGTGCCAGGGCGGGGAGGGGGAGAAGGAAAAACAAGTCTCTTTCTGGATGACTAACACAGCCAGCAGCGATTGCCACCCTGCAGCTCAGCCCCGCTCTTCAACAGGGAGTTACACAAAGCTCCTTTGAAGAGGTTAACACATTCGCAGTCGATGCTCTCTGCATCACCAGAGGGTCGCAGGGAGCTGCAGTGCTCATGCTCACACTTCAGGACCTGACTGCATGCAGAGGCAACCTTCACCAAAAGTCACGGCGCTGTGCTCTGACTGACACAGCTTCCACCAGGCTGGGACGGGATGGCAGCAGGCCTGGCGAACAACCAGACCCTCACAAGGGTCACCAGAATGTCTCTGCTGCCAGCAGCTGCTGGCAAGGCTCCACACTCACCTGCAGTTGAGCGGCCAGTGGCCAAGCATCGCTGCAAGGCCTGGGGGCTGCTTTGGAGCGTGCAGCCAGTAACAAACAACAAAGGTGTCCCAGCCATCAGAAGCGAGATGTGAGATGCCACCAGGCCGTGCCTCCTCAGCTGGGTGCCCTGGGGCACGATGTGGGCTGCAGCCAGGGCACAACTCCAGCGGCTCAGCCCCCGTCCACCAGAGCACAGAGACAACGCATCGTCAGGCAGCAGCACTGCAGACAAGCTGTCCCACCTGGGGCTTCTGGCACCTGCTCAGCCCAGACCTGCTCCAAAGCAGCCGCGGTCTGCACCAGCACGACCAGGGGCAGCAGCTCCCTGCACACAGTGTCTCCATGGGGAGGCTGCGACTTTCTCTGGTCGCAGTCTAGCCAGACAAACCACGCCATGCCCCCTGTAACAGTGGCACAAAAGGAGCCTTTCCTCACAGAGCATTTCCTTCTGCAGACATGCACGAGGTTTGTCAGTCACAGCAACTGCCCTGAAACACGCTGCGACCTGAAGCAAGCCAACAGGACCAACAGCAGCTGTTTCTTTGAGAGATGCTGACACCGCGTGGGAAGGGCTGAGAAGTGCTCAGCACAGGCGGCACCTCGCTGCTCACAGCGCAGCCTGGGAGTCCTGCAAAAAAATCATGAACGTTTATCCTCAGAAACAAAGCTGGGGGTTCAAAAAGCGAGTAGAGTTAAGCCACACTGAAGTGCTACGTGAGCAGTCAAGCTTGCTTTAATTTAAATACACTGGAAGCACTTTTAACAGGGGCTTGATTCGTTCTGAAATGTAACCTGCAGAAGATTTTACCGCCTCCATTTCAACTTCAAACACACCTACTGCAAAATGAAACCTCCCTGACTCCACGGGGGTTGGCTCTGATGGTGCCTCTTCTGTCTGCACAGACAAGAAGTCCTTTCTTCGTGCCTTTCTGCAGCACTGAAATGAACAAAAACAACGAAGGCTGCTCCATGCATGCAGCTGGCTTCCACCTGACAGGGATATCCCCCACAGCCCACACTCCACCCACCAAAACCTTAAAGAAATAAACATACAGTGACATGAAATGTGTTATCAAGGGAAGTTTCACAACGCCCTCATACAAAAACACTTCAATATTCTGTTCTCTGGGACGCTGCCAACCTGCTGCTCCCCACACAAAGCTCTCAACAGAGACAGAAACACACAGCCCTTCTCAGGAGGTACGGATGCTTTGTGTTATCCAAATATCATCACAAGCCAGGATGTGAGCAAGGAGCAAGGAATTCCTGCCACGAGCAAAAGGACGTCTGAGCAGACAAAAACCCAGCAGCGCAATGATAAATAAAGTGCACAATTGTGCACGAGGCTCAGCTGCAGCAGAAGAGGAGCTCAGGACCTGCGCAGTGCAGCCCTTTGGTTCCGTTAGGGCTGCCAGTGGAGGAGCCGAGGCCACATCCTGAACGTGAATCGTATCATTGCCCACAGATTGGATTGGATTGCATCACTGATGCCAACCATGTGGGTGCAGGGATGGGCACTACATGAGCCACAAAGGAAAATTAAAAAGATTCTATTTAAATCCTGCAGAAGTAACAGGATAGCAGAGGAACACGTGTGCGCCCGTTAACGACACCCAGCAGCTCCGTGCCGCGCAGCAGGCGGGGCGCAGCCGCAGGGAGCCCCCAGGACCGCCTGACCGCAGGGGGGCGCCCTCCGCACAGCAGGAAGCTGCGACGGCTTCGCGCGATTTACGTGTTCCCGCCTCCACGTGCCGGGCAGAGCGCGCATGCGCCCTTCACCCTCTCCGCGAACGCCGCTGCCGCGCGGCGCCCCCTGACGGGAAGAGCGCGGATCTCTCGGAGCACGTGACCCGGCCCCAGCGCCGCCTTCTCGCGGCTCGGGGCGGAGCGGCCGTGAAGAGCTTTAGCGGGGCGGCAGCCGCCGTGGGGCTCTCGCTGACGGCCGGAGCTGCGCGGTGTTTGCCCACAGCCGGGTTGGGGGCGGCCGTTCGCGCCTCCCGCGGAGCTCCCGGTGCTCCTCGCGTTCCCTGCGCGCTGCCCTCCGCCGCTTCGTGTTCCGTTTCCCGCAGCTCTGGAGGACTCCTCCCGCTGTCCGCGCGGTGGCGCTGCGGAGCTCGCGCGGCACCGCTGTGGTTTCTGCGCGGCGTGAGCGGGGTGGCGATAACGGGAGCGGCAGCGCGGGATTCCCGCTGCTAACGCGGACGAACGCCGCGCTCTGCCTTCAGCCTGTTGCGGGCACCGCGGTTTCTTGGCTGTAGGAGTCGAGTCTTTCCTCCTGCTGCGAGCTGTGGCGCTGCGGGGCGCCCCTCCGTTACAGGAAGGAGGGAGGGAGAGAACGCGGCCGCGCTCGTGCTCGTTCACGGGCGCGCAAAGCAGGGCAGCAAGGCGCGCCCCGCCGCCAGCAGCCGCCAAGCAGGGATGGAAGGAGCGCGGCCCGAGCTGCCCGAGCTGCCCGAGCTGCCCTCCGTCCCGTGCGGTCGCAGCTGCGCGTCTCCCCGCTCTGGAGCTGTGACCGCAGCAGTTGGCTGAGCGCAGCGTGGAAGCGCTGCTGATCGGCGCGCAGCTTTTTCTCTCCCCCAGGAGAACGGCTGCGACTCCTTCGGAGTCCATTAGCAGCTTCCTCTCCTTCCGCCTTGAACGGCAGCCATTCGCAGCCCCGGGGCTCGCGGTGCAGCGCTGGGTGCGGAGGTGCTGCGATATTCTTCCAGCTCCCATCCCCTCCTGGGCAGCGCCGGCAGCAGATCTTAACAGAGGAGCAGTGACCGGCTTGCCTGCACCCAAAACGAAGTATTTTGCCCCGCTGGTGTCTGCCTGCCTCGCACAGCAGTGAGAGGCACCGATGCTTTGCTGATACGTGTGCTGGGAGGTTATCGGGGAGCTGCCGTGGCCGGGACAGCAGTGAGAGCCCGTGGCATCCCTGCGGAACCGGAGATGAAGGCAGAGGCAGCACAGGCTGTAGGGAGAGCACACGGAGCACCGGCCTGCAGGTGTGAGCTGCTGCCACCAGTATCAGAATGGCTTCGGCGTGACAAATGTCAGCAGCTGTGAGTCGGCTCCCAGGCAGATGAACCATGGAACCATTGTGGGCTCATTGGAATGTGAGCCATGCAGGAGCCCACCGTGGCTCTGGCTGAATCCCGCTCAGCAAGGTGTGCCCGTGCTGCAGTGTCCCATGGGGTGACGCCATGTAGGGATGGACCCAAGGTGCGTCTCGGCTCTCCCACCCTGGGCACAGGCCTGCAGCCCCTGAGCAGTGTGTGGTTCCCACTGTCTCCCCGTCCCAATAAAGCGTGCAATAATCAGCCCATTCTTCTTCCATCCTTTGGCTGCTGCACCCATCTGGAGGCCCTCCATACACACTGGCTCTACCTTTCCTCTTCCTGTGCCGTCACTTTTGTTCCCGCTCCCCCCAGCTATTATCAGTAAAAGCTGTAATTAGTGCTGCTCCCTGTGCCCGGAATCCTTTTCCCATCCCTGTTGCTGTAGGGCTTACAGGTCTTCCGTTGAGCAAATATGGGTACAATTCACTTCAATTGCCAATCCCTATCAGCTGCTGGTGTGGGGCACTACAGTGTGTGCAAACAATGCTGAGATAGAGAGGAAAAGCAAGTGTGGAAAGCAATTGTTCTCGCTGGCTTCACCTTGATAACAAAGACGCCAGCTGCGAGACAAAGGCTGTTCACGGTTCCTTGCCCTGGGGCTGCAGAGGTGTCATTTCTTGAAAAGGGAAAATTGATGGTGTGGGCTTCAAACGCAGCTCTGCAGGACGGGGGCAGGGCAGGAGGGCTCCATTTAATTCCCTTCTTCCTCCCAACATGAGAGCTCAGACATGTCTCCCTCCAGAGAAGAAAACTTTGCCATCATAATTCAGCTGCAGGCTGCCACCAGCTGTACCCAGACCTCAGGCCTTCTTGCAGCACTGTCTGCAGAAACGAGAGGCTTCTGGATCACACACGTGTGCACGTGCAGCTGCTCCAGGAGCACAGAGTGCATCCAGGGCACGGGACAGAGTTCTGCTCCCACCCTCCCCAGGCCCATCCACGGGTGTCTCCGGTGCTCCCAGGCACGGCAGAGGCTGGAGCTGCAAAAATCTGCCTCTGAGGTGTGGAAAACAAAAAGTCCTTTTTCCATAAAAGGCGGCTGAGGAGCCCCAAGCCGGGGATCCGCGGGGCTGCGTCAGCGCTCTGCGTAACGCGCGTCGGTGTTCCAAGTGGAGCTGACTCACCTGCTGCTGGTGAAGGAAGCGGTGACGGCACAGATGTGGGGCTGCTTGGGGGCACCGGGGGCCGCCTGCACCAGGCTGGGGTCCTCACCATCACCAGCATCACCCAGCTCTGTGCCCAGAGTTGCTGTGGGTATTTCACTTCCACGAGTCAGCGTTTCAGTGCTCTGTGCCTTTTCTTCTATTTTGCAGCCCTGGGGGGCGGTGGGGGCTCTCCTGCTGCAGCCTGCCCTGCCATGGGGCTCAGTGCTGCCGTGCATCTCCAAGGGGGGATGGGGGATGTGGGACAGGACTGCAGGCACTGGGCACGGGCTGCAGCACGACATCCTGCCCAAGGTGCTCCTTCTCCACCTTTTCTCCACATTTGCACACGTGAATTCCAGAGAAGTGCTCCCAAGTCTTATTCATATCCTTTGAAAGGCCCTTTGCTGTCTCAGCTCACAGGTATCTGCATGTTTACTTTGTTCAAATTCCACAAAGATGTAACCATGCACTTACAAACCCTCCACGATCCCAATTGCGCAGCTATCTGCTCACACGGCTGAAACAGACTGGGATTTTTGCAGCCTGCCTCAGCTGGGGAGGTCCATCCACGTGTCCCTCACTGCTTAAACCCAAAACATCGGAGCCAATTCACCTCAACTTGGCAGTGAGAGTAATTAAGGTAAAAGCCTAATCAGGCTGTAACAGCTGTGGAGCACGGAGGGTGTTTGGTCTTTGGAGGTCTGTGTGCTTTGCCCACCCTGTTAATTCTGTGCTGCAAGCAGAGTGCAGGCAGGGATTGTAGCTCGGCTGAGCTGCGGGAGAGAGGCCAAGGGAAAATGCTTGGGCTGCTTTCCTGAGGGTCCCACACCGCTCTGGGAGGAGTCAGCAGCACCACAGCCATCCCCTATAGCAACTGTCCCCCAGAAGAGCCCGGAGCGCTGCGCACAAAGGGAGCGTGAATGGCACCGCTTTGTGAATGGCACCGCGGGCGGCGTGAAGGGAATGAAGGATCGCGATCTGCCGCTGAAAGCGCCCCCAGCAGCAGCAATCCCACACCCAGCCGGGAGGAACTGCTTCACCCGGGGACACAGAGGCCTCACAGAGCCCGCAGCACACGGATGGGATCAGCACGGAGCATTTGGGCGCCGCTGGGCCTGGGGGAGCTCAGCCGGGGCTGCCCTGCAGGTGCTGCTGTGAGGGGGGAGCGGCGCGGCAGGAAGGGCTGCGAGCTGCAATGTTTGCCCAGGGATGTAACGGCAGGAAAAAAACAATAAATAAAATGTCGGAAGGTCGTAAAGGGAGTTCGAGGAATTAAAAGGAATGGGATTTTATATGATGTGCTTCCTGATAAACCGGGCGTTTCAAAGGGTCCCTCTGCGGCGTGGCGGTGAGCTGAAAGCATTCCTGGGCAGCAGAGCGGAAGGTTTCCTGGAGGAAGGGCACTGCAGACGCGGGTGTTCATGTGGCTCCGCGCCCACCGACAGCGGGACGACCCCGGGGCAAAACGGGCTGCGCTGCGGAGAGTTGCTGGGGGATTATTTGTCATCACCCATCCCCACTGAGCGCCGGGTGCTGTATGGATACGCGTGTGCCTTAACCCCGCACAGGTCTGAGCGCTGGGGGCACAGCGCCGGCGGCTCCTGGGGTCACACGAGGCGATGCCTCGCGTGCTGCAGGACGAGCAGCGCCCGGCCCCGCCCGCCGTGCCAGAGGGCAGCGCAGCTCCCCTCCCTCCCTCCCTTCTCTTCTCTTCCCTTCCCCTTCCCTCCTTTCCCCTCCCCTCCCGCAGCACACCTGGCCCGGTGGGAGGGAGCGGCCCTATATCCCGGGCGCTCGGGGAGGGGCTGTGTCGGATCGGGGGCTGAAGGGCTGCTGTGCAGGTACCGTGCGGAGCCGCCTTCGGGGCACATTTCGGCGCTCTCTGTGCTTTTGTTTCAGTTCTTTCGGCTTTCCCTGCTGGCGTTGGTTGTGGTTACGTTGTTTTTCTTCCGTCCCTTCCCTCCCTCCTGCTCAGCACGGCGCTATTCGCTGCCCGGCGGTGCTCGTGGGGTGGGGGAACGTAATCGCTGTGCTTTGGGGCCGCGCAGCTCCTCGGCCGTGAGTTCCCAGCGCCGTCGCAGTGCTGTTGTGATGCTGCTGCCCGGCGATCCGGGCAGTGTTTGTGTGGGAGCTGTGCGAGTGGCTGCGGGCTGCAACCCCCCATGCAGGCAGTGGGTGTGAGGAAGGCAGTGCTGTGATGTGGGGGGCTGTGAGGAGGTCCTCATCCTGTCCTGGGGTCCTGTCCCACATGGGGACATCAGTGCGATCCCTATAGGGTGTGTGGTGAGATTGTGGGCACAGTGATATGCTTAAAGTTCTTCTGGGTCCCCTGTAGAGCTCCCTCCCTGCCCCTTCCCTTAGCACCCCCAAATTGTGGGGGGGACAGCCCCCAGCGCTGCAGCTTTTGGTGAAATAAGGCTTTGTGACACAGCCTGCCAGGGAGACCTGCCTGCAGGCTGCAGGAATCTGGGCAGCAAGAGGAATCTGGGCTGCAGCTCCAGAGAAGATCTCACGTTCCTGTAACTCATCCCAAGCATTCCTGGGATTAGCCAACACCATCTATTTCTGGACAGATCTCCTCTGGAGGTGCAGCCCCACCATGGGGAGATAAAGGATCCTGGAGGGGAGGAGAGGGTCCTCAGAGGGAAAGGAGGGAGCAACTGGAGCAGTGATTCCACTCTGCAACCACTCCACCTCCCAGAAACGCGTGATGCTGTTTGCTGCTGAGGTTCCAATAGGTCTCACTGGGGTGCACTGCTCCTCCTTGGGCACCCGCTGCCCCTGGTCCCAGTGCAGCCCCCTGCAGCTGCAGGGCTGTGCAGCTCTGTGTCTGCAGGCCAAGCACTGTGACCATGGCAGCTGTGTTGCTCAGGTCAGCAGCACGCCCTGCTCGTCGGAGCAATCACCGAGCAGCCCCACGGTCATTAAGCTGGGTGTGCTGAGCTCTGTAGGTCAGACTGTCTCAAGGCTCTTCCTTGTTGACAGCGTCCCAGGCTCGTATTTCGGGGACAACCCCCCCAGGCCTGGAAGCTGACGTGCTGCGTTGGTCCCCGCTCTGCGACCCAGCTCAGATGTCTGTCCCAAGGTCCCACATCAGGACGCTTAGAGGCCTCTGTCCCACACACGTGGGGCTCCGTGTGGCTGCTGCTCTGCTCTGCCCACGTGCGGGCGTTATCGCTTCATTTCCTCCAGCAGAAGCCTTGTTCCTCCTCTGGTGCTTCCACGCAGACCCAGAGCGGTGCTGGGCCACGCGTAGGGCGTTCCGGAGCCCCGGGAAGTGCTGTGGGCAGCTCTGGCAGCCGCAGGGCCTGGGGTGAGGCCGTGCTTCCATCATGGGAGGGCAGGAGCTCCTTGCGGCTGAACGTCAGCGGCATCCGGCACGGGGAAAGCGAGGGGCTCAGCGCGGCCGTGCGCTCCTGGAAGCGCCGCCGGCTCGTGCGTGCTGCCCGTTACTGCTGTACCTACTGAAATTAAACCCAGCTGCGCCGTGCGGGCGCTGACCGAGCTCTGCTCCCCGCGGGGGAATCCAATTTTCGCTCGGCTGGGCTCGCGGTTCTGACCTGGGATGACTTTTCCTTTCTATTCAGCAAACGCTCCCTCCCGGCCTGCGCTGCTGGGGGTGGGGATGGGGGTCCGCTCAGCCCGCGCGGTTGGGGCAGAGGAGCCCTCAGGTGCCGCCGGGCATCGCTCGGCACCGCGGCCGCGATGAGTCACTGCCGCCAGACGTGACGGAACGGAGCGCGGCCCCCGCCCACGGAGCGCCGTGTCTGCTCCCTAATCCTCTGACTCCAGCGTTAATCAGCCGGAGATAGGCGAGCTAATTAGTCAGGCGTTCGGGCCTGGTGCAAGAAAGGGCAAATATTTTGGGAGGTGCGTTGCGGTGTTTGCGTTTCGCGCTGCTCCGCGGGATGTGAGGCGGCCCTGAGCTCCTGGCCGTGACGTCCTCCGGGTCCCCCCAGCGGCGCGGCGCTGCCCGAGAGCTGAGCTGCCCCTGAGCTCTGGGATGCTGCACCTCCGCTGCTGTGACGGGGCAGGACAGTTTTCCTCGTCCTGAGGTGCACGAGCGAGGATCCCCATTGCATTTGCTGGCAGCCACTGTTGCTGTCCGTGCCTGGTGCAGCCGCTGGGAGCAGGGATTTCCCCGACCCAGGGGCCACTACTGCATTTCACTCGTTACAAGAAAATGAGCACTAATGCAGCTTCTCATGCTGCCGAATCCTGGGCTGCACAGCGATTGTCCCTGCGCTCACCCAGCCATGCAGTGAAGGTGGTGCAGAGCAGGACAGGCCCTTTCCTGCACTGCCTTGTGCTTCCGCTCGCAGTTTCTGCTACAGCCGGCCCCTGCCCGCAGCACGCCTCGTGTAACACTGCTCTCCTGCATTCCTCAGATTCCTCTTCTGCTGGAGCTGTGGGCCGAGGAGGAGCCCCGGCTCCGTGGGGCCGACGCGGGAGCAGCAGCAGCGGGAGGAGGAGGGTCGGTGCTCAGCCATGTCCCAGGTCATCCACAGCCACGTGCTGCGCGTGGGGCAGAGTGTGTGCGTCCCGTCCCAGGAGGGCACCCCGCGCCTGCCCGCCCCGTGCTCCTACTACTCGACGGACGCCTGGGCTGAGCCTGGTGCTGTGCGCTGCACCGCAGCCCCGCTGCCCACCCGGGGGCTGCAGGGGGGTCACCCTGCACCGCAGGAGCCGTCCCTGAGCCAGGAGGATGTGGGCACGGAGCCCAGCGCCCACCTCGGGTCACCCATCTTGGACATCTCCATAGAGAACCTCAACAGGATGATCCTGGAGCTCGACCCCAGCTTCCAGCCGCTCTCCTGCCAGCCGAGGAAGGTGGCCGTGCCTGCTGCCCGGGGGGACGCTGCTGGCACCCCACAGCACGACGTGGAGGCAGCAGGTGGGCAGGGGCTGTGGGCTCCCACCTCGGGCTGAGGATGAGGATGGTGTGGGTGCAGCCATGTCCTCAGTGGGACCTGTGTCACATCGGTGTGTGATGGGAAGGAGGAGGGGCTGGGTGCCCACTCACCCCCAGAATGTCACACCTCACATACTCAGTGGGACCCCAGAGCAACCAGGGAGAGCAGCCTTTAATCCAGGCTAATATTTGCTCCCCTATGTTTGGAGAAGGAATTTCCCATGAGGAATGGGATGTGTCACTCTCTGAAAGCTCCTGGCCCACGTTGCTGCCAGCAGTGAGTGCAGATGGGCAGTGACACACCTCACCCCACAGAGTCCCATCCCTGCAGGAGGGCGGTGGGGCCGTTCATGGGTCACCCTTCACCCACAGAACATTGGAACCTGGAGCCGGATTTCCAAAGCCCTGGGCTAAGGCACTGCTCATTGCACAGCTACCCCTTGTTGATGTTCCAGTGTTTGGTCAGGGAAATTCTATTTCCAGGGCTGCGTGCTCCTCCAGCAGCATACCCCATCCCTGCAGCACAGAGCAGAACACACGGCCCCGTCCTGCTCACACACTGGGGTGCTCCATGCCAGCAGTTCTGCAGTGCATCATTCCCCCTCGGGTGCTGTGCTGCTCCCAACCCCAGGGCTCTGCCCGCATCTGTGCAGTGCTGGTGCCCTGTGCAGTGAGGAGGCTGTGATGCTGTGCGGGGAGGTGTGCTGCTGTGGGAGCACCCGGCTGAGAGCAGCCAGGCTGCACAGTGCCCAGCTGCAGCCTTAGGCACCAAAATGCCATGGGCATCTGCTTGCAGCGCTCCTTCCAAAGATAACATCCCACCCTTCGGGCCTAAGGGTGTGGGGAGACCAGTTCTCCCTGGTTCCTTTTGGGAACTCATGTGTGTGTGCTGTGGGGTTGGGAGAGGATGAGGGGTTTGTGCTGAGCCCCAGCTGGGCAGCAAGGAGCTGGGAATGGGCGTGCAGGGTGCGGCATGTGGGCACAGCACGGGGTTTGGGCGTTCCCCATGCGGCTGCGCCTCGTGCTGCACTAATGGGAGGGGTGGCCTTGCAGATAAGGGCTGTGGCAAAGTGCATGTTGGGCCCTTTTCTCCTCGTGCTGCTACTTTGGGCAGTGAGGTGGGCAGCAGTGCCTGCCCATGGCCCCCAGCAGGCAGCATGCTGCTGGACTGGGAGAACTGGCACTGCATGTGGGCCGAGCAGCTGGCAGTCCGACCCTGTGCTTGGTGGGAAAAGCCTCACTTTGGCTTCCATTTTGTCCTAGCAGCTCTTTTTCTGTATAGGCTTCGTTGCTGCACTGCAGTGTGGGCAGCACCCACCCCTCGGGCTCCATCTCCTCCCCAGCCGACACGCAGCACCACACCGACCCTGCGGCACTTTCCAAACCATTTACACACCCTCCTTTCTGCCCAAGGTGCCACTCAGCTCCTGCAAACCAGCCAGGGCTGGCAGGAGGCTGCCTGCACCCGGAGGCACGTGGGAGGGCTTTGCTCTTCTCTGATGGGAAACACAGTGTGGGTTTTGATCCTCTACGTGGCAGGAGTTTCCATCGCGCAGCGGCAATGGAACCGCCTGGGAGCAGGGCTGGGTTGCTGCTGGTGCTGGCAGGGAGCAGCCCTTCAGCCCACCCCGTGCTCCTGCTGCCGCTCCTTGGTGCTGAGCAGCGTGCCAAGAGCCCGAGCAAATATTTGAGGTTTAACCACACCTGATAAGCAGGAGCCTCAGTGGGAGGCACAGGGCTTCGCCAGCCCGGAACATGAAGTTGTTTCTTCAAAGGAGGGTATTTTTCCTTTTGAGGGACACACTGACAGTGCCCAGCCAGCAGCGTTTGTGTGCCGATGCTTTGAGCAGCCCTGTGCTCCCACTGCCCACACCAGGTTGGGAATGCAGCCACGCTGCACGACGGCTCTCCTGTCTGCAGCGCACGGCTCAGAAGGGCCGAGCACAGTGCAGGCGCTGAGGACAAAGCTGGGCATGTTCAGAGCGAGGCGCCTGGAGCGGGGGGTGAAGCGCAGCCCCAACCCACTGCCTGCTGCTGCAGGCTCTGCTGGCTCGGCCTGGAGTGCCGGCGTGTTCAGGGATGCAGAAGGAAACGTGGGTGGAAATCCAGCGCCTGCGGTGCGCAGCCCCTCCACGGGGGGGTCGTGCTGCGCTGTTCATGGGACCCTGAGCTCAGGTGGCTGCTTCGTGCTGTGTGCCCCAACTGCAAAAGCAGAGAGCAAAGAGGCTGTGAGGTGCAGCCCCTCCCCACTGGGAAGCATCAGAGTGAGGGGGGACCATGCGGGCCGGGCCCCCCCAGCCTGACGTCAGGTTGGATGGTTTTCCCTTGAGTCAGACACAAACACAGCAGCTGCCGCAGGGAGCACCCATGGCAGGTCCTGGCAGGCAGCGGGGGGGTCTGGCAGACGTGGCTGCATGTAACCCTCCTACAGCCGCCAGCACCGGGGGTTGGGGTTGGGGCCCAACAGGCGCTGGATTGTAACGGCTCTTCTCTTTCTGCCTGCAGACATTAAGTACATCGAGATGACACCGACCAGAGCCAAGTGCACCGAGGTGCCACAGGGCTCCCCCAGCCCTTTCTCCAGGTCTCCCCAGAGCAGCGGCCTCCTGCCCCACGCAGCAGCACCCAGAGGGCACTGCACCAACGGCAGCGTGGTGTTCTCCAGCCCTGCACGGCCTGATAGCCCCCACTCGGCCCCCCCGGGCTGCTCCGTGTCCGAGAGCATCGCCGTGCCCCTTCCCCGAGCCGGGCAGAGCATCTCCCCCCGCACATCACCAGGTGCCGACCAGCTGCTGAAACCCATGCAGGCAGTGAGGGCGCAGCAGAGGGGCAGCGAGGTGTCCCTGCTCTCCATGAGCCCCGGCTCTGACACCAGTTATGTCTTTGGGAGGTGAGCGCAGCCCTGTGCCCTGCCTCAGGCAGGCGGTGGGGGTGGATGGGGTACCCCGTGCCATCGTCCCAGCCCTTATCCATTAGGGTGGGAGTGATGGCAGTGGGGTGGGGTGGGCTGTGGGCAGATGCGTGCGCCGTGCCCCAGCCCTGCAGCCCCTCCTGATGCCTCCCTCCTTCCCTCCTCCTGCAGCAGCACCCACTCGCTCCACGCCAATGACCCCGATGCCGCCTGCCCATCCCCCCCCGGCTCTGTGGGCAGCCCCCAGTCATCATCACCTGGCACCAGGTCTCGTTCTGGAGAAGCTCTGTGCCCCCCGCGCCCCCCTGCAGCCTGTCCTGTCCCATCCAGCCTCTCCCTGAAGGGCCAGGCCAGCAGCTGCCCACCCTCCATCCTCCCCGACGTCCCAGTGCTGCTGGTCAATGGGTGCTTGGAGCCAGGTGGGATACCCCTCCCCGGCCTGAGCACAGCCCCCCCAGCCCCTGTGCAGCCCAGCCCAGGGCTCAGCACCCTGAACAACGCGCTGTCAGCACCCACGCTCACCTGCGTCCCTGACAGTAAGTGCTCTGCTATAGGGCAGCTCTTGGGGGGGAATTCATCTATGGGGGATGGATGCGAGGAATGCGGGGTCCATGCTGGAGCTGGGGGATCTCAGGGCATCCCCATGGCATGCAACTCCTTGCTTGGGGAGGTGGGGGGGACCAGCAATGCTCTGGTCCCACTGGAGGTGCAGATGCACTCATTGATGGCAGCTGAAAGCGAGGGCCGTAGTTTTGTCGGTTCATACTGGTGTGGGGCCTGGAGCTGGGAGAGGAGCATGGGGTTCCCGTTTGCTTTGGAGGACATTAAAGGTACCGAGGTCTGTGAGGTCCCTCATTCAGGGGCAGACAATGGGACCGTTGTGCTCCAGGGAGATCAGCAGAGGCAGCTCTCCAGACATGGGGGTTTAATTGGGATTCTCGTGGGAAAAGCAGGAGAGCTCTGCGGGTCAGCAGGAGGGAGCGATCCCCCAGCAGCTCCTCACAGAGGTTGGGGTCCCCAGCTCTGCTCACCCCCCTGCAGGTCCCCTCCGGGCCGAGCAGCCCACCTTGAAGTTCGTGATGGACACCTCCAAGTTCTGGTTCAAGCCCACCATGAGCAGGGACCGAGGTGAGGATGGGCACCTGGGGCAGCCCTGTGCCTGGGGTGGGGAACCCCCTGCACTGGGCTGAGCCCCACTGTGCCCCACAGCCATCCAGCTGCTGCAGGACCAGGAGCCGGGCGCGTTCCTGGTGCGGGACAGCACGTCGTACCGCGGCTCCTTCGGGCTGGCCATGAAGGTTCCCGGCGCTCCAGGTGGGGGCCTGGCGGGGGGCACGGGGGTGTCACTGAACCCAGCCTCACAGCGCTGACAGCCCCTCCGTGCCACCCAAAGGTGACGACAGCAGCGACCTCGTCCGGCATTTCCTCATCGAGTCCTCGGCCAAAGGGGTGCACCTGCGGGGCGCCAGCGAGGAGCTGTACTTCGGTAAGGATGCCACCCCAGCCCCCCTTCGTGCCCCTCCTCCCACAGTCCCCGGGGCACTGTGTGGGGCCGAGTGCTGATCTGCCCTGCTGCAGGGAGCCTGCCTGCCTTTGTGTACCAGCACGCCATCACCCCGCTGGCGCTGCCCTGCGCGCTGCGCATCCCTGCCCAAGGTAGGTGTGAGCGCAGTGCTCTGCAGCCCCCCCTGTCCCAGCCTGTGCTGCGCTGCTCTGAGTGTCAGAAGGCGTTCGGCCCACGCCAAGCTGTGAGCACGGAGCAGCCCAACCTGCAGCGCTGCTGCTCCGTCTGTGCCCCGCGCAGATCTCACGGATGGAGAGGACGGCCCCGACTGCGGCCCCAGCCCCACGCAGTCCCCGCTGAAGAGATCTGCAGGTGAGCGCAGGAGCGGTGCTGAGCTGTGGGTGTGCTGGAGAAGGCAGCTCTTGAGGTCCCGAGGCGGATGCTGACCCCAAAGTCCTCCGCTTTCACACCGCCTCCAGTTTTTAAGGCTCTCTCCCCATTGCCTTCATTCTGGGCACTGAAAGGGGGAGGTTCCCAGGGGAGGGATGGGGAGCAGGGGCTGTTTGGAGCCAGCGCTGGGTTCCACCGAGGGCGCCAGTGGGGGTGGATGGGAGCTGCGGGTGGGAGCTGCGGGTGGGAGCGGGGCTGGGGCAGCGCTGGTGTCACAGTGCGGTCACTGCTGGAAATTCTGAACAACGAGTTGGCAAATGGAAAAGTTCAGCCTGACCAGGAACAGCACAGTCAGCCCCAAATGTCATGTCTTCAGCCAGCGCTAAGCTGTCAGCTGGCCTGGGGGGCTTCTGCTTTTCATTACTAGAAGTATGCAATAAACAGAAGGGGAAGAAAAGCCAGATCTGACATTTAGAAACCAAAAATTAAACATTTTGACTTTTAAAACAATGAGCACAAAGCATTTGAGTAAAGTGGAATGCACATTCGCAAAGAATTTCCACGTCCCCCAGTCTCTCATTGTCAGCAGAACTGAACCTGACCCAGGAGCACTGCTCCCATGCCTCAGGGATGCCACAGGGATGCCGCAGGATGCTGTAGGGATGCAGTGGGTGCTGACCCCACTGTGCTGTTCCCGCAGAGTGCAATGCGCTGTACCTGGGCTCGGTGAGCACAGAGACGCTGGTGGGAGCCCCGGCTGTGCAGAAGGCCACGTCCTGCACCCTGGAGTTGGATCCGCTGCCCACACCCACCCTGGTCCGCCTGAGAGCGTCGGAGCAGGGCGTCACACTGACGGATGTGCAGAGGAGGTGGGGGCTCAGGGCAGGGTAGCTCTCAGCTTTGCAGTGCTCCATGCGTTCTGCAGCGCAGAGCTGCGTTGCGACATCCCTGTGCTCACAGCTCCGCGCGGTGCTGCTCTCAGTGCAGCGGGTGGCGGTGGTCCAGCGGTGCTGGGATGCTATGGGGCCGTGCGTCGGTCTGAGATCCCAGAACCCCCGTGGTGCCCCCCGCCCTGACGCTGTGCCCCCTCCCCGCAGGGTGTTCTTCAGGCGGCACTACCCACTGAGTGCCCTCCGGTTCTGCGGGATGGACCCTGAGGGCAGGAAGTGAGTGTGGGGCGCGGGGGGGCAGTGGGGCGAGAGCTGCTGTGCAGAGCTGACCCTGAAATGTTCCCCTTCCTTTAGGTGGCAGAAGTACTGCAAATCCTCCAGGTGAGAGCCTGACCCTGATGCAGAACCCTCGCTTGGAAACAGGGGTGGCTGAAGTGGGGATGGGTGGGGGCTCTGACCTGACAGCACAGGGGAGGGGAGGGGCTCAGCTCTGTGCCCCCAGACGGGACCCCGCCTGGCCCCTGCCCCCCCAGGCACAGGCAACAGCGCGGCTCTTCCTCTCCTTGTTGGAGGACGCAGTGTTGCCAGAATGCTTCTCCCGGCCGCTTTCCTTCCCAGCAAACGTGACTGGGGTGCAGGCCAAGGAGGGGATGGAGCGGGATCGGTGCCGGGGCCGTTTGGAGCGGGTCCCTCTGCAGCTCAGCGCCTCTCCCTCTCCTTTTCCAAAGAATCTTCGGGTTTGTGGCCAAAAGCCAGATGGATTCGGAGAACCTGTGCCACCTGTTTGCGGAGTACGACCCTGTGCAGCCAGCAGCACTTGTCATCGACCTCATCAGCAAGCTGCTGCCCGCCCCTTAGCGCCCGGCCGCTGCCACATGCTGGGATAGGACGGGTGTGCTGGGCCCCATCCCTGCAGCCACGGCGTTGTGCCCCCTCCCCATGGAGAGGGGGAGGTCTGGGGGGACTGTGGCAGTAGAGCAGCATCACGGTGTCTGAAGTCAGTGGGCTGCGCTGGAAGGTCCCAGTCTCCTCTGCAAGCACCGGTGGTGGCAGAGCTGCCAGCACGGCACAGCTGTGCGCAACGCCTCTGAATTCTTCTGCCCTTTCTGCAAAGCCATGTCCCAGAGCACCGCGACCTCCTCACAGCGCCACAGGCTGAGAAATAAACGCTGACATTTTCACGACGGTGAAGCATTGGGATTTGGAAGGAACTGGGACGCATTTGGGCCGGAGCCCTGGCTGACGTCAATGTGCTCAGCCCTGCAGCACTGGGTCTGCGCAGACCCTCCTCCCCCCGCGCTGCTCTCATTTCGGACTCTGTGCCACGCGGCCCTCTGGGGGGGGGTCAATAAATCAGCGCATTGTTTATCTCACTGCAGTGATTTAGCAACTGAAATGCAGCGCTCTGCTGCCCGCAGTGCTCAGCCCCGTCCTGCAGCACGCTGTCCGTCTGTCGGCCAGGAGCCACGAAGGAGGGCCGAGCTCCACTCGACCTGTTCTCATTCAGCAATGCCAGCCCAGGACCCGCACTGCACGACCCGCAGGCAGCGCTGCTGCAGCTCCTCGGGTTTATGGCAGCGCTGCCCTGAGCAGCAGGGAGCAGAATCCAAACGCTTTGGCTCTGAGCGGCTCCGGGGGGAGCGCTGCCGGCGCCGCCCAGCCGGGCCCCCCCACCCAAACAGCTCCAGATTGCAGCGCTCGCCAGCAAAGCGGGGGCTGATCTGCAGGGAGGGGTACGGCTGCTGCCTCCCTCCAGCCCGACCGGGAGCAGCTCCAGGCACCGCTGCCCGCAGTGGGAGTTCTGCGTTTGCTGAAATCCCTTTTCCAGGGAAGCGCTGCAGGAGGGGGGGAGTTCAGCCAAAACCACCCGGATTTAGGAAAAAACAAACAATTCCCTGAGCGATGTGCGCCTCCAACGCCGTCCTTCCTGGAAGCTCACTGTGCCCGTCCGGCTCGGGGCACCCTGTGAAGCAACCAGGACCCTGATCCATGATGGGGACTGCACGGTGTCACCCCCAAAGGGGATGCAGCGCTGCCCAGAAGCACCCACGCTTTGTGCTCTGAGCATTGGGGTGGGAGGTGCCCATTGGGCATCCCATCTCCATACAGCCCGAGTCACGAGGGAAAGGGAACATGGCCACTAAATGCAGCAACAGCTTTTTCTTTTCTTATTTTCTTTTAACAATACAAAGCTTCAAGTTTACTGTAAAAGGAAGGATGGTGCTACACAGAGCCTGAGCGATGGGGTCGTCCGATAGGGAACTACGATCGCATCAGTGCAGAAAAGAGACGGCAGGGTCACGGTGGGGTCACGGCAGGGTCATGGCAGGGTCACAGTGGGGTCACGGCGGGGGGGGTGGGGGGCCTTATGCCGGTGCAGGGCAGTGTGTAACTGCAGCAGCACAGCAGGAGCGGCGGTGCGCAGCACTGACCCTGCAGGACCCACCCCGCGCTCAGCCCCACACCTGCTGCCATTTCACACCCGCAGGACATGGAAACCCGTCCTGTTTGCGCCCTATCTGAAGACGAGAGGGCAGCGACCGCGAGCTGGGCTCTGATGCCCTTGCTGCCCCACCCCGGGGTGAAGGTCCTTATTGCTCATTGCGGCCCCCACCCCACGCACACAAAGGCAGGTGACAGCAGGTGGCAGCGGGGGGTCCATCCCCTCCCTGCCCACACCGGGGGGCTGAGGCACTTCTTGTGCTGCGCGCTCAGGGGGGCGCAGGGAAGGCACTGCGGCAGGGGGCTGCAGGCAGGGAGGGGCGCAGCGCTGCTTTCTCCTTTATGCATCTCCACCGAAACAGCCTGAAAGCAGCCCTGCTGGCACCCGGCAGTGTCCTTCTGTCCGCACCGGGGTCTGTGCGGGACAGGGATGCCACCAGCGGCTGCTGGGTGGAGATCACAGCACTGGGGCGGCACGGTGCTGCACCGTGGGCAGAGCAGAGCAGTGATGGGGGGCACGCTGGGGTCCACGGGCGCCAGGAGCTGCTCGGCAGATGTGTCCCCTCTCCTCCATGGCCCCGGCGGGCGGCCCGGCCGCGCTCACGCTCACATGCTGTCTGCTGGCTGGTGGCAATCCAAGTCCCCCTTCAGCTCCAGGAAGCCCGGCAGCTTCACCCCCGTCTTGCGGTCCACACACCAGCACTTGCCCCGCTGCCCGTCCAGCGCCGGGTGACACTGAAGGGAGGCACAGCTTCAGTGAGCGTCCATGGAGCCATGACAAGCCCAGGAGCTTCTGCAGCTCCCACTGAAACCCAGTGCCCCCCACATCGCCCAGCCCTGCAGAGTGCCCCCGCCGTGCAGCCCCCACCCTGCCCACCTGCTTGGGGTGAAAGTTGCCATTGCGGTCGCAGTTGGGGATGGGGATGACGTAGAGATCCTCGTGTGTCCGTGTCTGTGAGGCCGCCAGTCGCTCCAGTGCACGGTGCAGCTCGCTCTGACACGAGCCCTGGGCCTGCAGGGAGGGGGGAGCCGAGCTCTCAGTGGGGCATCCTCCCACCCCGCCCCACTGCCAGCCCCCCTCCTGCCCTGGTGCCCCCAGTGCTCACAATGGGCCGGGTCTCCTCGCGGTGATGTGGGCTCCCGCTGCTGCGCATCTTATTGCCGTTGTTGACGCGCTTCGCCTGCTGCTTCTGCAGGCACTTGCGGTCGTGGATGCTGCAGGGGCTGAAGCTGTTATTGGGGTGCTCGATCTCCTCCTTCTCTGCAAGGACACAGCAGGGCTCAGCACTACAAGGCAGCCCCCAGTGCTCCCCCCACGCAACTCCCTGTCCCTGGCACAGCATTGGACTGAGACCCCTCACAGCACAGGGAAAGGCTCTCAGGAACTCTTACTGCTCATTCACAGTTTGTTTCCACGTGGCTGTTATTGCAGGGTTGTAATTCATGCCTGGAACACTGCACAGCACTGGGGTGCACCCTGCCAGCCCTGTGCAGCCAATGGACACCGGGGGGGGGGGTGGTGACCCCAGGACACGCAGAACAACAGCCGACCCCTGGAGCCCCCAAAACTGCAGCAGGACCGGGGCTGCGGGGCCCCACCAGGTTCTGCTCGGGGTGCACAGCCCCAGCCCCCCGCTCCCTTTCCGGGACATGAAAGCAAGAATTCCAGGAATAGGACAGTCCACCTCCTGCTGGCCGGCCGGGGGGGGGCGGCGCTTGGCATCCCTGCCTGCGCCCACACGGAGCCAAACTGCAATCCCAGATGTTGGCAGCTGGGAGGGAACGTCATAAGACCGGGGCTGCTCAGACTCCGTTGGGCTGCAGGTCCCCCTGCCTCCAGGCCCAGCGATGCCTTTGGGCCACGCACCACTCCTCCTGCTGCATGGAGGGGCCCGATGCTGCGGTATCAGCGCCTGGAGGAGGGCTGGGCACTGTGTACCTGACGGCAGCTCCTGGCTGCAGTGGGTCACTGAGCAGCTCCCAGTGTCCTGGGTAAAGTTCACAGCCCACCTGGCTGGCAAACCCTTCTCCATCACTGTAATATTTGCTTTTTGTTTAAACTGTCCTTTTTTTTCCAGGAAGCGGCTCATGCCCTTGACATTTGAAACACAAACTTGACACCCACTGAGGAGTGACTCCAGGACCCCTGGCAGCCCCTTTCACCGTATCACATCCCCACGGCGATGTGTCACATCCCTGAGGCACTGTGCTGCAGCCACTGGGACTCACTTGGGGACGCTGCTCCTCAGGGACGCCTGGCACTGATGGGGCCACCACAGCAAAGTCCCAGTGCTGCTCCCATGGAGGGGACACAGGGCACAGAGTGGCACTGCTCCGCACCATAGCCCGGCACAGGACCAGAACCCCCCGTTCCTGGCCCAGCCCCCCTCCCCCTCCAGCCGCTGTCAGTGTCAAATCTCTCGGTTAAATAAAACCAGATGCCAGTAACATTTTCCTGAGGTCCCCAGGAGCGCGGTGCCTCCGGGCAGCACGGCGGCGCTCCGTCGGCACCAGCATCGCGCTCCCCACCGCGGCCCCCGGCTCCAGGCCCCCTCCCCACTGCAGGATGGCTGCGGTTCAGGGCGAGCTCCCACCCGGCCGAGGAGCCTCTCGCCTTCCTGCTGCTGGCAGCGCTCCTGCACCGAGCTGGGCAGCAGAACTCCTTCAAGTGGAGCACAAAGATCTGGGAAAAGCAAATTCCTCAGAGCCAGGAAGGAGACCTGGAGCTCGCGCTGCACCGGCCTTGCACCACCAGCAGCACGAGGGCTGCACAGAGAGCAGCACGGGGAGGAAACCCCACGGCTGGGTTTGGGGTGCTGCCTCGGGAGCTCAGGGGTTTCTGCCTGGCCCGAGGACAGGAGCAGACATAAGCAAGGCATTCAGCGTCGCCTTCAATTAGCGGGAGCCACAAATGAGGTTTGTCACATGCTGGGCGTGTGATTCACAGCACTGCGCTCCAGCAGGAGGAGAGCCCCGAGGCAGCAAGCGGAGCCCCGGATGGCGCCTGCAGGACGGGGACAGCAGCGCCGGCTGCACTCTGAGCCTGGGGTCAGCTCAGGGACCCCATCCACGCCCCGACAGCCCCGGTGACACCGCCGGGACAGGGCAAGAGCAGGTGCTGGCAGCATTCAGTCACTTTTTCCCAGACATAACTATTAACCCATCATTAAGCCACTCGTGGTGCGTGCTGCAGGACGTTCTCAGCTCTCCCCAGACGCCACCCGCAGGTCCTGGATGCCCGATGCAGCGGCCCTGGGGCACACAGCAGGGCTCAGGCAGCACCACGGCGCAGTGCCATGCCAGGGAGTGATGCAGCTGCAGCCTCTGCCCTGCTGCTCCAGCAGCACTGGGTGCAGGTAGCAGGGCAGCGCCCCGTGCTGCCCCATAGGGTGCCCCAGGCGCAGGGCTCGTGGCCGCCCACTGTCCCCTCCTGCCACCTGCGGCTCTGCTGGCCAGGCACATGATCCCAGGGCCACCCACAGCCCCAGCACAGCCAAACCGGCGCAGGAAACAAAGGAAAAAGCTGCAACTCCATTTCCTAAAGGCTCTGGAAAAAAAATGCTGCGTTATACGGGGCAAAGCCAAAACCAACAGGGTTTGGCAGCCCAGTGCAGCCGTGGGCCAGGGAGTGCAGAAAGCTCCTGCAGGATGTGGGCTGGGGACAGACGGGCAGCGCAGGGGGACCCCCGGCAGCACTGTGCCAAGTGCTCACAGCCAATGTCTGTCCTGGGAGGGGGGGTCAGGGGGCACCTCACAAAGGGCCTTTGGCACAGGTGATGGGACACAGCAGGGAGATGGGACATGCCCTGTCCTGGGAGCCCCAGGTGACACTGCACAGGAACCCTGGCAGAGGGCCACCCCTTACCCCGATGATGGGAACATGGGGCAGCAGGGCAGAGCCTGCAGCAGCAGAGCTGCAGCCCCAG